CGGTCAGTCGGTCGGATTTGTTTTTTTAAATTCGTGAAAACTAAGAGTATTGTAAATAGCCAAGGTACATGTATATGGACTTCATAGTATTCGGAACATGTCAGACAAATACAGATCAACCCGCGGTTCAAAGTCGCCACTTACGGGGACTCTTGGGGATCAAACTACGGTCCAGGATCCTTAATTTTTAGAGGAAACACTTTTTTACTGCTTAAAATGGTGAGTTTTTAATATTTGGGCCTGTTAAAAAAAAAAAAAAAAAAAAAAAAAAAAACGCGACCTGATATTTCATATTTTTGGGTCAGTTGTTGAGGGCCACAAAACAATTTTGTGAACAACATTTTTTTTTTATTTTGCCTAAAAAGACAAGTACACAGTAATGTCACCCACCCCCGTTTTTTTTATTTATTCAAATTTGAAAATTTAAACATTTATCCAGTGCAATACTGCAATTTGCTTATACCATAGTTGTGCGGGTAAGAGCCCAGGGTCCTGAACATGACAAAACTACACTAGGGAATAGAATGGAGAGAAAAAAACATGCAACAGAAATAAATGAACAATATGCAACATTAGAATTATAACAAAAATAATTTATTGCTTATTATGTGACAAATAAACCAGAAATAATAAATATCGACAGTGAGGAATCATTTGAATTAGTATTTCCTAAACAGTGATGAACATGCTGCCTAGGCATAACATGAAATTACCTATTTTGCTGTCACAGTTACTGTAAAATGACTAATTTTCACTGGGTTTAAATTTCACTGATTTACCATTTCAGGCATATTCAGTTGGTTTTAAATTCACGGTTTCGTCATTTAGATAATGCGTTCTATGCTAAATTTTACATATTCACTGGATTTTAATTTAGCGCATTTTTCCAGTCAGCGAAATAAGCTGAATTAAAACCCAGTGAATAATTACCCCCTTTACAGTAATTCGCGTTCACCCCTTGTTTTATGCAATTGACATTTATTTTTCAAGACTGCAAGGAAGTCAACTGTTAATACAAAGAACAAAAAAATTTTTTTTTTAATTTTTTTTTATTACAAGTGTAGAAAAAGACCCCCTGGGCGTATGCCCGGACATGACCTCAATTTCTGTATTGTAAAATAAGTGTTTGCCCGGGCATGGATGCTTATCTGAACAGATACAATATTTCTATTTGTTCAGTATTTTCTCAGACTTTCTGGTCTGTCTTAGTATCAAATTCTTTAAACAAGACTTTTTTCCCCTTTATATCATTCACAATTTAGATGAAATGATTTTTTTTTACTTTTTTTCCATAGCATTTTTTTTTACAAAATTTAGTTTAATTTCTTCTACTCTTGAGAATATTCGAGCAACAACAAAATACGCGAGATTGAAACCAGTCTAGGGTTTCTTTAGAAAGTGGCTGCAAATTTTCTAAATACTGTGAGTTGCTATTATCGAGATACTGTGGAATACTTTATTTTCGCTGGAATTAATTTTCGCTGAAAAGGCTTTTTGGGCGTTTTGCTTAGAATTTATTTTTTACTGATTTTTGATGAGTTTAATGTGAAATATAGGAAAAAAAGTATATTCGCTGGATTTTATTTTCACGGAATCATCCCTTCAGCGAAAATAGCGAAAATAAATTCCAAGCGAAAATAAAGTATTCTACAGTAGTCCTGGTTTATACGACTATAAATTACTAGTAGTAGTCCTTTAACTGTTTCACCACCAGACATTCTCATCTAAATTTTTTCTGATATTCTTCAAAATTTCTGACAATGAACCCTAATTTTAGAGCCAACAGACTAAATTTGAGTCAATTTTCACTCAAAAATTTTGGCTATTTTTGTCCCAATCCTCTAAAGGGAAGTGCAGACAGAGGTTTTTCTAGAAAAAACTACATCAAAGCAAGTATCAAAGCAATAGAGCTAGTAGTTTTCAATAAAGAGGTCAAAAATATAATTTTCCCCCCCAAAATGGCAACAATATTTGCCAAAAATAGAGAATTGAAGATGAAGATATCGCCATGAAATGAACAAATATAATAGAGGGCCATCCAA